CAGCTCAACACCACACAACGAAGAATGACCAGAATGATCATCAACACGCCACGACTCCGGAAGAGCCACCACGACGAGCACACTACACAGGCTACAACCACTTCGCCAAACCATTTCTGGGACAGCACTTCCGCCACATCCGCGGCTGTTACTTCAACGACCACCAGTTCATCTACCGCCACGTCCTCTGACGATGACCTCGGCAGCAGCCCCGACGAACCCTAACTTCCCGAGACGGTCGATCTGGCCAACCTGATCACTGACGACGTTACCGAGCCGTGGCTCGACTTCATCCGCCGCACAACACACAGAGCGAATTGCTTGATGGACCTACACGACATGGAGCCATGGGTCGCGACACAGCGACGACTTCTGTAGAGACAGGCCCACAGTAGCCCGTCACAGCGCCGGACTCAACAAGTTGCTCACTAGCATCCTGGTCTCGATGCGAGACAACGAGGACAGCGCCAACAAGGCCGACAACCGAAACGGTGGGAGGACGAACTACACGACTACATCCGACAGCGGATTACGACCACGCGAACGAACGACGGTTTGAGTGACGCCATGAATGACATTATGTACATGGATCAACGTAGCCTCCGACACAACCACTTGGATGAGCATGGAGTCCGATTTCATCTCATCGACGGAACCCAGCACCCCAACAAAATGACCAAGACACCTGTCAACACGACACCAAACGACACCGACGCCTGAACTAACTCCAACAGGGAAGCACGCTAGTGCTGTCTGGCCTTTGCTTTTTCCAGCACGTGTACGCATAAAGAGGTTAAGACCTCCACGCTCTGGCCCAAGTAGGCAAGGACCATGTCCTGATGAGAGTGCGAATGCGAATGCTTGAGATCCTGGCGTCGCATGTTTTGGGGAAGCGGGCGATTTGGCCGTGTTTCGGGCCCGGCCTGGCAGCTTGAGACATGCCGCAGAAATATTGGGCACAGGGATCTTGTCGCTGAAGAAAAGGAAGAAAAAAACAATAAAAAACAAAAGAAACAACAACAACAACAACAACAACAACAATCACTTTACCCGAACGCTCAGTGTTCTCACCAGTGCCAGGGTTTTCATGCGACGCCAGCCAATACCCCCACTTTGTGGGGGGGCAGTGCAAGCTCTACCAAATATCCACACGACTCTTCGCCACCACCCACACCCAGCTTCCCGCCCTATGACGTTCGGACACTTCACTTCGTGGCCTGCGGACGACCGTGGCTACTACACTGGCGTGGAGTACACACCCACAGAAGTTGTTAAGCCTACGTTCGTACACCCACAGAAGTTCTTAAGCCTTGTTAACCCACAGAAGTTGTTAAGCCTTCCACAGAACATCTGTTGCATATGATGCATATGGTACATGATACACATGATACACATGATACGTACTCACAAGATGGAACATGATGGATATGGTGCATATGGTACATATGGTACATGATACATATGATGCATATGGTACATGATACACATGATACACATGGAGATTTCGGCGTGCGCGCGCGAAGAAAAAACGAATGTGCCCCGCATGGTATTATTTGACAGGGATGATGGCCCTGGCAGGTGCGCAACCGTTGTCGCAGAAGTTCGAAAAAGTTGCTCGCAAAAGCCCGTTTGACAGAAATGTTTAAAAAGTGTTGGGTTTCCTACGAATCCGCAAGAGCGCGCGGGATGAGATTTTGACATTTTTTTGTTGAAAAACCATTGGTTTTTTGATGTTTTTATGTTAAAATCGCTCCGAACACTAAGCTTTTGGAAGGATTTCGTCTTGCGCGCGCGAATGTCCACTTTACCTTATTTTTTGCAAGGGATTCTTGAAATTTGATTATATTAGAACAAGAAATGTCATTTTCTATTGTTTTTTGCAAGGGAAAGCGGATTACAACAAAACAACCGGATCCTGTACACACCCTCTTTTCTGAGGCTTCCTCACGAAAATGATGAAAATGTAGCTGCGGCCTAGGCGGCGCAGGGGGGGCGCGCACCAGGGGGCCCAACAATAATTATTCTTTAGAATAAATAATGTTCAACAACAACAAACAACAACAACAACAACAACAACAACAACAACAACAACAACAACAACAATCATTTTACCCGAACGCGTGGTGTTCTCCCCAGTGCCAGGGTTTTCATACGACACCAGGCAATACCCCCACTTCGTGGGGGGGCATTACAAGCTCTACCAAATATCCAAACGACTCTTCGCGACCACCCAAACCCAGCTTCCCGCCCTATGACGTTGGGACACTTCACTTCGTGGCGTGCGGACGACCGTGGCTACTACACTGGCGTGGGGTACACACCCACAGAACTTGGTCACTTATTCGGGGCGCGCATGTGCCCAGCATGGTGCAATTGTGCCATACAATACATAATACAGAGAGACAGAGAGAGAGACAGAGAGCAGACAGAGAGAGAGACAGAGAGAGCGGAGTTGGTCAACATATGGCGCAACCGCAAGGGATTCTGGCCCCTGGCAGGCGCGCGAACCCCGTTGCAAGAGCGTGCGAAAGTAGCTCGCGCGAGCTCATGTAACATAAATGTTGGAAAACCATTGGTTTTTTTAGGATTCGGACAGCGCGCGCGGGTGGAAATTTTGAAAAGTCGTGCAGGTGTTTTTCGAGGACCTGATGCGCGGTGCGATTCGTGTGATTTTATGATGCGCGGTGCTAAAATTCTTAAAACCCAATGGTTTTTGGAGATTTCGGCGTGCGCGCGCGAAGAAAAAACGAATGTGTCCCGCATGGTATTATTTGACAGGGATGATGGCCCTGGCAGGTGCGCAACCGTTGTCGCAGAAGTTCGAAAAAGTTGCTCGCAAAAGCCCGTTTGACAGAAATGTTTAAAAAGTGTTGGTTTCCTACGAATCCGCAAGAGCGCGCGGGATGAGATTTTGACATTTTTTTGTTGAAAAACCATTGGTTTTTTGATGTTTTTATGTTAAAATCGCTCCGAACACTAAGCTTTTGGAAGGATTTCGTCTTGCGCGCGCGAATGTCCACTTTACCTTATTTTTTGCAAGGGATTCTTGAAATTTGATTATATTAGAACAAGAAATGTCATTTTATAGTGTTTTTTGCAAGGGAAAGCGGGGGGGAACAAAACAACCGGATCTTGATCACATCGAATTACCCGAGGCTTCCTCACGAAAATGATGAAAATGTAGCTGCGGCCTAGGCGGCGCAGGGGGGCCGTGCACCAGGGGTCCCAACAATAATTATTCTTTAGAATTAATAATGTTCAACAACAACAACAACAACAAAACGCCATAAGCATAAACTGTTGGCGCTCCGTGCGGATTTCTTGGATCCGCGCCTGCGGACCCCCCTGCGGCGCCTCCAGCGCGCCGCCGGGGAGGGGGACCCAGCACGGATCCAAGAAATCCGCGCGGAGCGCGCCAAAAGTTTCTGTTAATAACACTTTTTCCCCAATCACTGCTTGCACTGAAGGGGTCCTAGCGGAAATTGAAAGATTTGGCGAAAGTTTCCCGCCGATTTTGGTCGCCGGCTGGGTTCCCGGGTTCCCGGGTTCCTGGTTATTGGTTCCAGGCCGATTTCGGTGGGTTCCGGGTTCCCGGGTTCCTGGTCGATCTCTTGATCGATCTTTCTTTATCGATTCCATTTGAAACCATGCATTGATTGGGGTTTTTCTTTGGCGCAATTCTTCTTCTATGTCGAGCTTCGTGTGCGATGACGAACCAACAACACACTCACACACACACGTACCCACAGGGGGGTCGGAGAGGGCTATGGGTGCGTGTTGTCGGATGGGGGTCCCCGTTCGAACGGGAGGGTTCCCCAGGGTCCGACAACCCGCACCCATACCCATAGCCAGTCCTCCTCCCAACGACCCCCCTATGGGTATGGGTGTGTGTTGTTCGTTCGTCATGCGATGTTGTACACGGCTTCGCGGCTTCGGATCTCGGGGCACGGGCCGGGCCGGGCCTGGCCAGGAGGGCGTGCACACGGAGCCTGGGCCCAGAAGGGGCCTGGCTGGGCTCGGTGCAAGATGCATAGTCTTTCACCACCCACCAAACCACCCCGACCCAACCCGAAGGCCCAAGTTTATCCTCGATTTCCAGTGGGGGGGGGTCGGGGAGCATTGAAAAAACACATGTGGAACCCTTACCCCCCCCAACCCGAAATGCGGGTCTTCGGGTTGGGTTGGGGTGGTCTGGTAGGTAGTCAGTCTTACATCGGGCATGTCCCTCTACAGAGGGAAAAGCCAAAACAGTTTCAAAAATAGTCTGGAAACAATGTATCTACTATTTCTGGCTACTTCCATGTTTTGTGTCACTATTGCTCGCTTGTCTTCCAAAACACGCATTTATGAGGGCATGGCCGACCTAAGCATAATTAGTCGCTGCCTTCCGAATGTAGGATGAGGATGATTTGTCGCGCGCAGAGGGTCGGAGGAGGAAAAGGTACCCATACCGCTACCCTTCCATCGGTTTCCCATTTCTGGGTTTCTTGGGAGGCCTTCGTCGCCACCGCTGGATTCGCCTCAAAACCCTTGGCAGAACGCACCCTGGAAGAGGTCTGGGGAGTAGCGATATCGGTACCTTTTGGTTCCCCCAGAAGGGGGTTGGTCGGACGGGCCGAGAATTTGGATAAATCCGTTCCAGGGTGTTCCAGAACGTTCCAGAGCGTTTCGGAACGTTCTGAAGCGGCCGCGGCGCCCGATATTGCACATCCTCCAAGCTCGCCGGTTCTCAGAGATTTACGCTCTATATCGGTTGGATGTTGCCTCGATTCTGCCTCCGATTTAGTAGGGGAATGGGGGGAGGCTTCTTAGAAGCACCCCGATCCTCAGAGAAGGCGCGGGCCTTGTCTCTGCATGCAGGGCCGGCGCCTTCTGAGAAGCAGCCTCCTCCTAAGAGGCCGTGCCTTGCCGCGCGAGCGAGACCAGAGCCGAAGCCGTCGCGTCACAGAGCTGCCACGCGTGCCGCCTCCCTGCCCCCGCCCCCCCCTCCCCGCCGTGAGGAGGCGAGGACGAGCCCGAGCCCGACTCCCAGCTGCTGAAGAGGTGCTCGCGGCTCCGGGCGGTCCACCCCGAAGAGGAGCAGGCAGCACGAGCGCGCAGACTGGGGGGCCACGTCGGGCTCAGGAGGGGCCCTGGCGTCCGGGCTGGTCCTTAGAGGTCCAGGTCGGGGGCCCCATGCTCGGCCGAGGGGCGCCGTGGCCAAAGGATTGAGTCGGGCATGTCCCGGGGAAGATTCACAAGTAGTCTAAGAATAGTCTGGGGGCGATGCTTCGACTATGCTTAACCAGTTTTTCTGCCCGAATCCGCCTGTGGGAGGACATGCCCGACCTAACCAAAGAAGCCCCTTGGTTCCTTATCCAGCGCTCCTCATGGTAGCACGATGACTGTCAATAACTCGGAGCTCCTCGCGGATTTCTTGGATTGGCGCTGGACTCCCCTGGCGGCGCCTCCAGCGCCGCCCCGGCGCGCGCGCCAGGGAGGGGGGGGCAACGCCGATGTCAGAAAACCGTGCGGACCTTCGAACTTCATGTTCATGCTCATGCCGCTTCTCTTCTTCGGCCATCCCCAGTCGGCGACGCGCCTGTGCTGGGACTGCGTCGCCCTTGTCCTGGTCGTGTACGAGTGCGTGATGATCCCGCTGCTGCTGCTGGAGACGCCGGTGTTCAGCGGACTCGGCACGATGATCTGGGCCACGCGGGTGTTCTGGTCCGTCGACTTGCCGTTCAGCGCCGTGACGGGCTACCTGACGGGCGAGGGCGCCACAGAGCTGCGCGCCACCAAGGCCCTGAGGCACTACGTGTGCACCTGGTTCCCGCTCGACTTCGGGCTCGTGCTGATGGACTGGGGCGAGCTGATCTTCGGAGATGCGACGGGTGCCAACGCGGCGCGCATGGGGAAGACCATCAAGACCGTCCGCATGTTGCGGATGATGCGCCTCTGCCGCCTCGCCCGCATGAAGACCCTCCCCGAGATGGTCAGGACGTTCATCGAGCGTTTCCAGTCCGAGCTGGCGCACATCATCGCAGGCCTCGTCTCGTCGAGATCCTCCGATTTCCTATTCATCCTCCTCCTCCTCCTCCTCCTTCCTCCTCCTCCTCCTCCTCCTCATACTCCTTCGCTTCGCCTGCCAGGCCTCGTCAAGATGATCGTCATGATCATCTGGTTCCACCACGTCACTGCGTGCGTCTGGCTCTACCTCGCGATGTCGAGGTCGGAACGGAGCGACCGAAACTGGCTTGACAAGTATGGCCTGTCCAGAGAAGGCTTCTATTACCAGTGCTCCGGGCAGCGAAGCCATCTTTCTCTTCCGCCCCCCCCATTCTCCCTCCGCATGTTCACCCTCTTCCACCTATCACCCTTCCCTGCCTCCACCTTCCCCCCAGATGTGAAGGCGAGCCTCATTATCACTGGCAGTGGGTGAGGAGGGAAGACACTGGTTCTTGCAAGGAGAGATGCGCGTGATGAGCCGAGAGTGGCAGCACATCGTCATCCGCATGCCATCTTCTTCTCATTGAAGGGTATCAGCAGCTTGTTTACCTCGTATGCGCCATATGGCTCCAGTGTGCTTTTGCGGCCCCTCGGGTATTCAGGAGGAGATGGAGGAGGAGGCGGCAGCAGGAATGTCAGAAGTTGAGGAGGAGATTGAGGAGAGTGAGGAGAGGGAGGAGGAGTAAGAATGAAGGGGCGGAAGCAAGACCGTCAGCAGCAGAGGCAGAGGAGGCGGAGCAGGAGGAAGAGGTTAATTTTCACCCTGGGTATTAACATAATGTCGCCCTTTGCCGTAACCGAGGGGGGGCAGGTCCTCAGGATCTTTTATCTTTGTGTTCCCCTCAGGTATTGCACAAGCTTCCACTGGTCCCTGACCCAGTTCGCAGGATCCATGGAGGTTACCCCCACGAACTCGACGGAGCGCTTGTTTGCCGTATGTTCCTTGCTGGTGGCTTTTACGGTAGCTGCTTGGGTGGTGTCAACCCTGACCACCTCCATGACGCGCCTCGAGATCGCGGCTGGGGAGGAGGGCAAGAAGCTGACCGACCTGACCGATTGGCTGATTGACAACCAGATCTCCAGCGCGCTCATGGCGCGGGTCAGGCGCAACTTCCGCTTCGCCATGCTGGAGGAGCGGCGGGGCCGACCCAACGTCGAGATGCTGAGGATGCTGTCGAAGCCGCTGCAGGCGGAGCTCAGTTTCGAGGTGCACATGAAGACACTGGGTGCCCTTCGTGGGGCCTTGGAAACGGCAGGGCCATGTTTGAGTGATTCAAAGTTTCCACGACATGTTGTTTGATCACGGAAGCGGTTTGGTGTGTTTTTGCTTTTGTTACAATATTGTTCAAACAAAAACGCGGAGCCAGAAAAAAAAACATGAAAATACAAAAACATGGCGGTGGAATTGGAGCAGAAACGGAGAGGCGGAGCCGTGAAGCAGAGAACGGTCTTGCCGCTTCCAAGGCCCACCGAGGTGTCCACCCCTTCCTGCGCACGTACGCCGTGAGCTTCGAGTCCGTCGCGCAGCAGGTCCGCCCCCGGGCGGTGGACGACGACGACGACGACGACGACGACGGCGGCGGCGGCGACGACGGCGACGACGACAACGACGACGATGGCGACGATGACGACCACGACAAGGGCGGCGGCGGCGACGACGACCACGACAACGACGACGACGGCGACGACGACGACGGCGGTGGTGGCGGCGGCGGCGGCGACGGCGACGACGACGGTGGCGGCGGCGGCGACGACGACGGCGTCGTCGTACGCCGTGGCCTTCGAGTCCGCCGCGCAGCAGGTCTGCTTCCGGGCGGTGGGCCTGCTGCAGGCGGTGGAGGGCGACCAGCTGTTCCTCGAGGGGCAGGCGCCGCTGGAGCCGAAGGTCTACTTCGTGACCAGCGGTGCCCTGGCCTACGCCCAGCGAAGAAGAAAAAATGGCACGGTCATAAGGTTAAGTCGGGCCTGTCCCTCTACAGGGGGAAGGCTCAAGAATAGGCGAAATATTGTCTGGGGACGGCGTTTGCTTTTAAACCATCTTTGAATATTTTGGGAGCACTTTTGGGGTATGCTTGATTTTTCGTTCAAAATCCGTCTGTAGGGGGGCCACGCCCGACCTGATCAGAAAGCTCAGGGGCCCTCTGAGCGACGACCGGCGAAAACTCGGGTGTTGCCAGAGGTGCCTCCAGCTTGTCGCTCCATTCTGGAGCCCCCAGGGCCCTCTGGGCCTCGCGAGGGGTGCTCCGGAGGCCGTGGGGGCCTCCACGGAAATCCTGGAACGAAGGATTGCAAAAAAAACCAAGGATAGCAAAAAAAAAAAAAACGAAGGATTGCAAAAAAAACCAAGGATTGCAAAAAAAAAAACGAAGGTGTTTTTTTTTGGTTTTTTTTTGCACCTCGGGCCGGGACCGCCCGAGCGACGACAGAAAACAGGGCTGACTGCGCCGACGTTGGCGCGCAGGCTGCCCCTCGCAATGGTCGCGCGTGAGCAGCCTCGCTGCAGGTGCAGCGTGCCGCGCGGGCGGCCCGCGGGAACCACCGCGAGAGTCCACCGCCAGAGTATGTCCACATCCACCGCTTCGGAGTCGTGCCCTGGAATCTCGAGGAGCAGTGGATGTGGATATCCGCCCGCCCGCGTGAGCGGGCAGATATCCATATCCGCCGCTCCCCGAGTCCTCGCAACACGACCCAGCAGCAGTAGATATGGTCAAATTCTGACGGCGCAGAGAGGTCTGCACGCCACCTCGCGTGAGACCAGTTTTGGATCGTTGGGGTCCAGGAGGGGTTCCGGTGTCCGGGCTGGTCCTCAGATCCAGCTCGGTACTCCAGGTTTCGTAACAAAAGGGAGGGGGTCTGGACCCTCCAAGACAAGCCATTTCAGACCTCCCCCGTGGGAGAACCCTCCAAAACATCGTCCCCAGACCCCCCCAGGCCCTCCAAGATAGCCTGGAAGAGACCTCCCCCCGAAATGAGACCCCCCTCCCTTAATTACAAAATCTGGAGTAACCGCACTCCGCAGCCGAGGCTCGCCGTGGCCAGAGAAGCCCCGTCGTCCCGGGCCCAGCGCTCCTCATGGTAGCGTTGAGTCGGGCCTGTCCCTCTACAGGGGGAGGATTCAAAAACAGTCAAAAATTCGTCCGGGGACGATGTTTTGACGATTCTTGAATCTTGTTGGTGTATTTTTGGGGTACTTCCATTTTTCGTCGCAAATCCGCCTGCGGGGGGGCATGGCCGACCTAATGGTAGCGAGGCGACGTGGAACATTCGGAGCTCCGCGAGGGATATCTCGGCTCGGCGCTGGACACCCCCCTGGCGGCGCCTCCGGCGGCGCGGGGAGGGGAGGGCCAGCGCGGAGCCAGGACACCGGCGTGAGGCTCCGAGAGCTCGTGCTTTCCTGCCGCTGTTTCTTCTTCGGACCCAGACCGCCGACGACGGGCACGTCACGACCGAGGAGGTGCACTGCGAGGAGCGGCGGAGGCGAAGATCTACCGATGCCGCCGCGTGCCCAGGCCTCGTCGCCGCGGCTGGCTTCGCCTCTCGAGTTCCAGGTCGGAGCGCGCCCTGGGAGAGGTCTTGGGAGCAGCGCCACGGGTGCTCAGAGGTCCGACGGACGGATTCTTCTAGTGCGAGGTGCCCAGGAGGTCCGGCACTCTCCCAGGGGCGGGCGTGTCATCCCGAGTGGTCTTCTGACGGTTTGGGGGGCCCAGCGGTGGCCTCTGGAGGCCGAAGACATGGAAGCATTTGATATTTGTTGTTCGGTGCGTTGAGAGTTTGGGCTTAAGTCGGGCTTGTCCCGCTACAACGGGAATGTTCAAAAATAGTCAGAAAATAATGAGGGGACGGTTTTTTAACACCAGTTTTTGTGGTGGGTGTTTGGTGTATTTCTCTTCCGTCCAAAATCCGCCTGTAGGGGGGACAGGCCCGACGTAAGTCTGGGCGGTCAGGTCATAACTTGGGCCTCTGGCGGCCGCTCGGGACGATTCTGCCACCCCCCCTGCCCTTGGAACGCCATCGGCGAGGCGCAGCTGCTGGAACGCATCGCGAGGCGAGAAGACAAAACACAGGAACCGACGAGAACTCCCACCTCGCTGGAGATCTGAGTATCCGCTATTCCGTCGTGCTTCTTCTCTCTGTAATTCCTCCTGATGCGCGTCGTGATCTTTGTTGGTTCCTTCGGCCTTGCTCTTGATGTTCTTGTCGGCAGTGCCAGAAGGTCAAGGGTTCGCGAGGGACTGGTTTCCTTCAGAAGCGACAAAGCCTTCCTGAAATCCACCGAAAACCCTTCGGGACGGTTTCTTCCGAAAGGGTTCCAGGAGGCTTTTCGGATGGCTCCTGGAGGGTTTCAGAAAGGTTTGGATCATTTTGGGGGGAACCAATCCTTGGGATTTCTAACGGGAGTGCCCAGCCAGTCCTTCCAGCCGTGCCAGTTGTCCTTGCCTATGTTGATCTCCACGCGGTTAGCTCGGAGTGTTTTTTGGGTCGTGTTGTGCGGTGTCTTGCGATATGCTGTGGAATCGTGACATGTCACCGTTTTCCCTCTGCGATGCATTCGTGCTCGCGCTCCTCGAAGCCGCTGTGTCCCCTCAGCTGCTTCTCCGCAGCGGCATGGTCTCCTCATTGTGGCGCCTTATCTCCATGGGCTCCTGCAGGTTGGCTGCCTCAGCAATGTTGTACATGGTCCTTGCTTTCTCCGTGATGAGCTAGTTGTGGGCTTCGTGTTATTGTATCCGCAGATGTTGTTGTTATCCGAAGTCATTTTCAACCTTATGATTGGCATTATGTTATTATGTGATGTGCTCGCTGTGCGTGTGTCGGCGTATCTCGTCCTTGTTGCGGTGGAGCTTGAGGTGGTACTTGTTGTGGTGCCTTTCCATATATATGTGTGTATATACACTGACATATGTATATACGGCCACCCTTCGGGTGATTAGGAGGTTGGGGGGAGGGGAAGTAACCAACTGCTGGCTACTGCGATGGGTGTGATGGTGACAATGCTGGTGGCGCGCCCTCGAGTTGGCGACGACGCGTGATCGATATTGCGCATCGATGTGATGTCAGTGTCGACCCAGCAATCGATCTCAATCGACCGATATCACGATCGATTTCGCATTTGTTGGTCAGAACTTGGAGGCCTACAGAGTACTTCAATGTGTGTTCTACTGATGGCTCCCTTCGAGGTCTTCCGGTAGCGGTTTGGTTTGGGTAAGGGATGCCCCAACGTGGCGATACCCACCCGACAAGTTCATCGTGACCGAATTGCGGAGTATGTAGGTTCCTAATCAAATTCAGTTCTCGATGAAGGCCCACACGGGGCCTTCGTGAGTTTGGCTTCGGGCTTCGTCCTGGGACGCCTGACTCCCGACCCCTCCTCAAGAGAGTGTTTTTGTTACCCTCTCGGCCATAACGCGCGTTATTCCCCTTCCCTCCACCCCATAAGTAACGCTCCCTCCCCTCAGTGCGTCCGCGGCACTGCCGCAGTACGTCTGGCACCACGGTCTGGGGGAGGCGGGGGGAGGCGTTGCGTCATGCCCCCCATCCACCCCCCCCCCTTCCCCCCCCATGACGCCGATGATGGCCGCGCAGAACGAAAAATGCGCTCCGACCTCGCATTCCTCCCAGAGGAGTTCAAGGGAGGAAAAACCACCCAGACGCGACAATTGGCGTTTACCAAACGGCCCTGGGCGTTTACTGAACAGCCCTGCCCTGTTTGATTCCCTATTTGCGCGCGTTCACCAAACGACTTCGCGTGTCGGGGTGGATACTACGGGAGTGAATGTTTTAACCTCTAGGATCGGAGGTTGATAGACCTCGTACCCTGACACGTCGATGTTGTCGGTTCGCGAGAGGGCGTCGCGGCCGTCATTTTTGCGGGTCCGGGTCCGTCGGCTTCGGCCCCAGACCGTTTTCATTAAAGGGTGGTTTACTAAAGGGAGGTTTGTCCACCACCGAGATTACATGGGGGAGCGGAGGGAGAGGACGGGCGGGGGGGACGGGGGGGCGCCAAAATTGGACTCCATGGCCCAAGAGTCCACCCCATCGTCCTCAAGACCAGAACGACAACCCTGCCAGAGCTCAGGGGTCGCCAGGGCATTGGACACCACCTGGGAACTCGAACAAACATCAGCGGGAAGACCCACTTTTTTTCAGGTTCGCTGCTTCTCTTGGCTGGTGCTAGCTTTCGCCGCAATCAGCGGCTCATCAGGCTTGAGCCTAAATTGGCTCTGGATTCGCACTCTACCTGCAAGGAGGAAAGACTGGTCTACTCTGTAAGAACGGTTTTTTGAAGGCAGATCTGCCTTCAAAAAACCGTTCTTACAGGGCCGCCGACAGGAGTGGGTCAGCGAGCCCGCGCTGTGGACGCAGTGGGTCCACCAGGGGCTCCTCGGCGCCAGGGCCGTCAGCGCGGTGCTGCAGCTGGACTGCCTGGAGTTCCAGGGCATCGCCTCCTCGGCGGCCGGCCTCGCGACGGCCCTGGCCTACGGCAGCCGAAGGGATCGAGGGAGGGAGGGAGGGAGAGGGAGGGAGGGAGGGAGGGAGGGAGGGAGGGAGGGAGGGAGGGAGGGAGGGAGGGAGGGAGGGGAGGAGGAGGAGGAGGAGGAGGAGGAGGAGGGAGGAGGAGGAGGGAGGAGGAGGAGGGAGGAGGAGGAGGAGGAAGAGGGCTTGCAGGGCCCGTCACAGGCAGATCGAGGAAAGGGATATCGGCACAAACGTGCGGTCGCGACCTCTTGCTCAGCGTGTCGCGCCGCCGCTTCTGGCCCACCGCGCCTCGGCGCGACGCGCGAGCCGAGTCCCGGTCCCCGAGCGTCGAAGTCCCGAGCGTCTCCCAGCCTCCGACGTGCGTTTTGCCGAGAGAACCTTCGCCTGTCTTCGCACCTCGGCATCTTACGGTCGGGAGGAGGAGGTCGAGGAGGAGGGAGGCGAAGGAGGAGGTCGAGGAGGAGGGAGGCGAAGGAGGAGGGGGAGGAGGAGGAGGAGGAGGAGGAGGAGGAGGAGGAGGAGGAGGAGGGGGCACTGTTGGGCCCTTCTCCGCCGCGACACGCTGCTTGTCCACTTCGCGGTGCCCTGCGTCAGAGTCCCGAGCCTTCCCCGGGCCTCCCGCCCCGCGGAGCGGAGCGGCACGCGGCCCTCTCGCAGCGGGTCTGGCGTGTCGCCGGGGCCGCCGCCGCCACGCGCGACGCGAGGAACTCCCCGACCGCAGGCCTCGGGAGTTGGGAGGTCCACGCGGATCTCTTGGGTCGGCGCTGGGCCCCCCCGGCGACGCCTCCATCGCCGCCCCTGGCGTGAAGTCGGGCCTCTCCCTCGACAGGGGGAATGCCCAAGAAAATAGTCAAAGAATAGGAATGCCTATTTTGGAATGCTGTTTGGCTATGTTGGCTATTCGTTGCCTATTTTGGAATGCTGTTTGGCTATGCCTATTTTGGAATGCTGTTTGGCTATTTCTGGTTTTTCCTCCGGAATGGGGCTGCAGGGGGACAGGCCCGACTTAAGACCATGACGAGAGGAGGATGCAGGACGCGATTCAGCAGGGCGAGGCGGCATTGGCCGCATTCCGGGGAGGGCACCCTCCCGATCCATGGATCTGGCGACCGCGCGCCAAGTCCATGAATCGCTAATCCATGCTGGCGCGCCCCCGACCCCAGCGCGCTCCGCGCGCCAGGGAGGGGAGGTCTCTCCGCCGCCGATCCGCGAGACCCGCCGCGCGGACCTCCGAGAGCCCCCCCCTGCTTGTGCTGTTTTCGCTTCTCCTGGACGGCACGGGGGAGCAGACACAGACACAAAGAAACACGCTGATCTCTGCGAGGATGTCGGGAAGTTGAGGGGAAGGGCACAAAGAAACGCTGATCGTTGTGAAGATATCGGGGATTGAGGGGAAGAGGAACCTGCAAGATGTACATCTATACCGTATACCCTTACGTGCATATATATATATAAATATATATATATATATATATACATATATTTGCATATAAATAGACATGCATATATATACATATATATATATATATGTACACGCATGAAAGAAATCCAGCAACACGTGTTTATCTATTTGTGACCCCTCGGGCCCCTTCATCTAGGCAGGGAGTTCGTGCGCCAGCTCAACCGCGGCCGCCTCACAGACCTCCGGGACCTCGACATGGACCTCGAGTCCATGGCCCTCGACGCGATACCGGAGAAGCTGCGGGGCAGCACGGGCCGTCGGAGGCGGAACACAACGGCCAGGAGCGTCCGGCGGGCGACGGCGTCGCTTGTCAAGAGCCGCAGCCTGTACTGACAGGAGTCGCCAGGGACTGCTACTCTTTCCCCCCCCCCTCCCCTCCCTCCAAGGCGGGGGTCATCCATGACCACCGCTTGGTTGGAGCAGCCTGGGGGTCTGAGGTTGCCCAGCATTGGTCCCGCCCAGCGTCGGAAGCTGGGCGAGGGCTGCTAAAACCGTGGCTGCTAAAACGGCCCTCCCAGAAGGAAAAAACAACTTCCCGGAATGAGGCGCGGCACGCGAAACAGTCAACGGGCTTCTTCCCGGAAGGACGAAGACAACTTCCCGGAGGTCGATTTTAGCAGCCACAGATTTAGCAGCCCTTGCCCGGCTTCCGACAGCAGGAAGGGGAGGGAAATTATGTGGGAAGTCATGGTAGCCTTGTTGCAACATTTGGCCTGTCTGTTTTGTTGTTTTTCGCTGGATTAGTGCTCTTTAGTGCTCTTTAGTGTGGCTCCGTGCCCTTGGCCCTCGTGCGTTCTCCTCTTTCCCACCCCTCTTTCCCCGCCTTCGGTTTGCTTTTGCACGCCCTCGAACTTCTTCCCCGGCAAGAAGTCCGAGGCGCTAGGTTCGAGGAGGCTTCTTGCCTTTCGCAACCTCGGGGGGGCGTGCCGTGTTCGGGCCCTGGGGCCGTCAGAAAACAGGGGCTCCCACGAGGGCGCGAAGTGATTCGCGCTTCGCGGTCCGCGTTCCTTCTCCCCCTCCTCGTCCTCCTTTTCTCCCTTTTGGGGGGGCGGCGCGAGAGCGCGAAGTTATTCGCGCTCTCGCGGTCCTCGTTCCTTCTCCCCCTCCTCCTCGTCCTCCGTTTCTCCCTTTGGGGGGGGGGCGGCGCGATGGCGCGAATCGCGGAGCTGGGAGCCCCAGGAAAAGAGATCCAGGGTGAAACACTGCGCCAGATGGACCCCGGGAAGGGTCCCGGGACCGAGTTTGGCCGGGCGGCTCCCTCCCCCCGCTTGGCCGTAGATTCGGGGGTGGACAGACCTCCTACCCTGACACGTCGACTAAGGAATTGGCCGTTTTCGGTTCGCGAGAGGGCGTCGCGGCCGTCATTTTTGCGGGTCCAGGTCCGTCGGTTTCAGTCCCAGGCCATTTTCACTAAGGGGAGGTCTACTAAAGGGAGGTTTGTCCACCGCCGATAAATGGGGTCGGAGTAGACGGGGTCGGAGGGTCTCGCCGCATCGCCGATGCCTCGACGATGCGGCTCGATGCGGAGCCCGATTTTCTCCACGCGGACACATCGACGACGTCGACGCCTCATCGCCGGTGCGTCGCCGATGCATCGCCGATGCATCGCCGATGTATCGACGATGTATCGGCGATGCGGCGCGGTCCCATCTGCTCCGACCCCATCTGCTCCGACCCCGTCCGGGAGGCCTCTATTTTCTCGGGGCCTTACCAGCGGGGGTTGGGCCATCCATGACCACCGCCAGGGGGAGCGACCCCCGGGGGGGGGGCGGGGCCGGCAGGCGGCGGGTGTGGCCAGCTCTGGGCCCTGGGGGGGGGGGCAGGCAGATCTCGAGTGGGGGGCCGTCTACAGAATTGATGTGCCCCAGACTTGACCTTTCGCGTCGAGGCACAGGTAGGATGTTCGTAGACCTGCGAGCATTCTACGAATATTGCTCGTGGACTCGACCAGCAACGCAGTTTTGGGCAGTCGCTCCCCTGCTCGAGAAATCCCTGTCGTCCACCGTCTGCCGGCGCCCCCGCAGAGACCCAGAGCGTCCAGGCAGCCGTCGTGGACGACTCCCCGCCTCGCACTCCTGCGGCTGCTGCCTCTCCTCGGCCGCTCCGTGGGCGTCGGCCTATCCCTGAAGGCGGGCCTGTCCCTCAACAGGGGGATCAAAAAGTAGTCTGGGGACGACGTTTTCTGACCACTTCTGAAGATTTGCGGGGCAGATTTGGGGTACCTAGCATTGGTCGTCCGAAATCTGCCTGTAGGGGACACGCCCGACCTCAGTCTATCCTTGTGTCGGGCGTGTCCCCCATACACAGGGATTCTCGACGAAAAATGAAAAATATCCCCAAAATGATCCAAAAAGGTCTAAAGATATGAGAAGAATAGTCCCCAGACTATTTGTTGCAGTATTCTTGGATTGGGGTATTTCTAATTTTTCCTCGAAAATCCCCCCTGCAGGGGGGACAGGCCCGACTTAAGCCTGTCCCGCCACCGTGCCTGGGCTGCGGGCCGGGACCCTTCTCCCGAGGGCTCCGCAGGGTGCCAGGGCCGCCAGGCCGACCCTCTGCGTGGAAGCCGCCGCCCTGCCCTCGGGACGGGGAGGAAGCGCGGTGGATCGGCCCCTCCTCCTCCTCCTCCTCCTCCCCCTCCTCCTCCTCCTCCTCCTCCTCCTCTCCTCCTCCTCCTCCTCCTCCTCCTCCCCCCCCTCCTCCTCCTCCTCCTCCTCCTCCTCCTCCTCCTCCTCCTCCTCCTCCTCCTCCCTCCTCCTCCCCCTCCTCCTCCTCCTCCTCCTCCTCCTCCTCCTCCTCCTCCTCCTCCTCCTCCTCTTCCTCCACAATTACTCAATATGAATACTACTCTCCCTCTTCCCCTGATGACGGTTTGAAAGTGGCCGACCCCCCCCCGCGTACTGTTTTTTTACACAGGTTTCCCCGGAGTTGGGTTTTCGCCTGCATTTTTTTCAAAATGCTGCTCTCGCTGAGGCGCCAGCCTCATTTTCGGGCCCCGCTCGTTCCGAATCGTGCTCCCGCTGCAGCGCTGGCGTCATTTCCGTGCTTCCGCTCGTTCCGAATCGTGCTCCCGCTGCAGCGCTGGCCTCATTTCCGCGCTTCCGCTCGTTTCGACTCGTGCTCCCGCTGCAGCGCTGGCGTCATTTCCCGTGCCATGCCACGGCATGCAATGCAATGCTAGGTTGAAACTACGCTTTGCGGTGCTCTTCTACGCCATGCCATGCCGTGCTCTACAATGCATCGCGTACCCTTTCGGGATCATTGCCCTGCTCGACATCCGACTGAGCGAGTAGAGAGGGGATCTGCGCCATGGTAAAAGATGGGAGGGAGGGGTAGGATGTCAGATGTGACGCGAGCGCACCTAGCTTGTCCGCTTGTCCTCCTCCCCCTCCTCCTCCTCCTCCTCCTCCTCCTCCTCCTCCTCCTTCTCCTCCCCCTCCCTTGCACGGCGAAATTCGACCCCTCGGACTCGACTAGATTCGATGTTCATGCATTCCGATTCCGATTCGGTTTGATTCCGGATTGCGACTTGGGTTTCGGTGTCTCCATGGACGCCTTACTAGCCTGCCGATTTCCACCGATTCGACTGATCCCGACTTGGCTGCCGATTTCCGCCGATCCGACCCATTTCGATCGCCGATCCGATTTATCGATTCGATCCTGGATTATCCCTGTCTCTGTCCTATCTGGAACCCTCCAGATTTGGGATACCTCCAATTACCTATACTTAGTTTGCCCCGCCAGGGTTTTCCTGTCCCACTGGCGGGCGCTGCTACTTTTTGCGCTGCATTGAGCAATGAGGTTCGTTTGCATGCGACTTGAATTCATCGACGGGAAGGACGACGACGACTACGACGAGAGGAGGGTGCAGGACAAGATTCAGCGGGGAGGGGCCCAACAACTCAGAGCGGCCTGCATGCTCTGCCCGCCTCTGCATTCCAGCAGAGCTGACGCTACGTCCATCGAGATGGCATGGCCATGATGGCACTAGCGGCTTTCCCGTTAGAACTTCTGTAGGTATCAGTTTCGGAAGCTAGGCGAGGGCTGGCAAATCCGTGGCTGCTAAAACGGTTTACCCAGAAGAGAACAACAAATTCCCGGAATAAAACTCAGCGCACTAAATAGTAAACGGCCTGCTTCCCGGAAGAATGTACAATTTCCCAGGGCTCCGTTTTAGCAGCCACGGAATTGCCAGCCTTCGCCTGGCTTCTGACAGTTCTCAGCCGACCATTTTACCTGTGTTCCCAGAGCGCCCAGTGATGTCTGACGAATCGGGAGCACATACGTGCCGTACGCTCGGTGCTCGCGAACGCAGATGCGCGGTGCTCGCGGACCAACCGGAGGCCGTGGTTACTACGCGCGCCTCCTTTTCGCAAGGCCTCTTTGTGGAAAAGGCGAATACTGATGAGAGGCCCGCGGCAATCATGTTCGTCGAAACCCGGCGTGGTGGTCCTTATGCTTGGCCTCCCAGGCCTTTTTCGGCGTGGCATGGCTTCGGGAGCGCACGAGCCTGCCACAAGACAGCCCAGGTGCGTCTCGATTCCCCTCGCGCGTAACCAGAGGCTTGCATCTTCATTCGCACCACAAAGAGGGCCTCCCGAAGTCCCAAGACGGCCCAAGACGGCGCCAAGACGATCCGAGAGAGTCTACACAGGGCCCCGAGACGCTCTAAGCCGAGAGCTTAGCAAGCCCCCAAAAGGCAGAACAAAATACATGAGAGGCCCCAAGACAGGCCTCAAGGGGCGCGAAGGAAGGCCCAATCCGCAGAATGCAACAGCACGCAGCAGCAAGCAGCAGCCAGTAGCACTTATCGTCCTTCCACGACAGCAAGCGGCTCAAGCAGCAGCGTCGCATGTATCCTCAGGAAGTCAATAGGTTGTTGTAGGGCCGTGGCCTTCAGAGCGAGGGTACTCATGGCGCCCACACGCTGATATTCACGAGCGGCGTGGAAAAAGAGTGTCAAATATCTGGGCATGTGTGCGTAAGGTCGCGTGCGAGCGCCACTTTGTCCACGTGGTCTTCGGCGTGAGCTGCGTGTGTAAGCCACCTCATAAGGTTGCCGAGCCGTTGCGCGTAAAGACGCTTTCTTCTTTGTCGCCAGCAGTGCGTGCTCGGAGATGGTCAGCAGATGTGTTGAGCACTAGGCTCCGCTGGTGTGCAGAGCAACTGAGAGGAGTCAAGCGAATCATCAGATCTGTTGGCTGACTCAGCAGAGATCACGTCCACTTGCCTCTCTCGTGCATTATCCGGCGCAGTACCTCTGCTTCTCAGGTGGTCGAAGGGTCGCGCACCTGCTTATTCGCATTCCTTCGAACAGGGTCGTCCCAAGCCTGTCGCCACGCAGACCTCGTAACCCAGAGATTTCGCCGACGCCTCTCACAGACTTCTTCGAACTTGTGTGTGTGTGTGCTCGCTGCCCTTGCCTGCAGATAGCGTGCCCTGTAGCGTCTTGCACATCACATCCAGAATGAAGTGTTCTTGGAAATCGTGTTTTCTGGTCCCATCCATCATCCATCCCCCTGCTTCCCTCAAGGTCCTGGCGATTCTTCTCCGATCGACCTGTACGGATAAAGCCAGATACGCACCATGCAATTTCTGGCAAGTCGGGGCACTCCGAGGGATGCCTGGTCGAGTCTCGGCATATCGTCGAAGATCTAGCGCGAGTCAATGGACCGCCGCCGCTGTCGTCGCCGCCGCCGTCGTCGTCATTGTTGTCGCCGTCGTTGTTGTCGCCGTCGTCGTCGCCGTTGTCGACGCCGTTCAT